GCTGAGTTAGCTCTGCTTCCAAATGCTTCAGAACTGAACTGATGATCTGCAGACATTTGGAAAGTGATTGGAGTACTTCCAAATGGCTGAGATTCATTGGCATTTTTTTCTTGGAAAAAAAAATAATTGAGGGAATGAATGAGATTTGGAGTCCCTCCTAGCCCCATCAGAGTTTAATGTTCATCACGTTGCTGTTGGAGGCAGTGTACTTCAGGTTTACCGTTCTGTCTCAGCCAGACACATATTTTTTCTCAATAAACGAGGTCCTGGGAGACAGAAAGGCAACTTCATCTCATAACCAGCAGTTTCACTCTGCAGCAGACCTAAGACAACCTGAAGGCTACCAGCACTGTGAAGCTTTAGCCCCCGAGCCAGCCATGCCTGTTGCTGCCACGTGAGAGTTTCTCACAGCTGAGTGTGTTGGGCTCAGTATTTTCTTAAGACTTGAACAATCTGGGGGTGATGTTCATTTTATTCTTGGCAGGTAACATGGGGCATTGTGAGTATTAAAGACATACACAAATGCTTTGCTTGACTGATGTGATAACAGCTTTGTTCTTTTATTCACAAGGCTTTCCAGACTTATTCTCACTTTGCCTTTGGACACAGCCATGCTCATCCGTCCCCCTAATTTCACGTGAACTATCTTTGCAGACAGAAGCAGGTTTGTTGTTCATCTCTCTCTAGATCTGCTTAATGCCTGAAAAGTTCACAGGCTTTCTGTGTGTAGGGCAGAACACTCCTAAATATAAGCAATAATACTGACCTGTTCTCATTTGCATTAGGAGTTTTTGCTTTTCTTACCTAAATCTGAGTTCACCTCTCCCATGCCGCTCTTGTGACTCACCTTTTTTGTTGGCAGCAACTCCAGGAGACTCTGAATGTTCTCCTTCCCTTTGAACATGACACCCTCCTGTCCCCATAAGACAGCCAAGACAATTGTTGTGAACGTAGGCAGCAGTTATATTAAGACAGGCAATCGTGTGGTGGGAGCCTTTGGCATAAGCCAGGCTCAGCTTTGGTTATCTGATGGTTGAGATAGATCCAAGGAGGAAAAAACCACCCAGGGCACTGTGGCTGAGCCTCCCGGAGTCCCTGA